ATCAACCCATTCATGACTGCATATTAGAATGGCTGGTTGGACATTTATTGTTTACTTTTGAACATTGGCAAAAATCAAACATTTCCCCTACTTAGAGCTCCATTTCCAGGTTCTTTTTATAGTAAAATCAATCAAAATCACCTCTATTTCTATAATATGTTTTCCATTCTATCAAATGAGACCAAGAAAACGAGAATACAACCATAAATACTATATGAAAATAGACCACAAAGCCGGCATTTTAATTAAAAAAAAGGGTCTGAGTTTTTTTTTTCTCATTATGCACGGCGCACTCCAGGATTTTTTTTATATGGTGCACACTGACCACACAGACCCATTCTCTCACATGTGGGCCTACCAGCTTTCTCCTGCTTGATTTGAAGCCGCTAGAATTTGAGTATATATACGTCAAACACTGTACCGCATAAGACTTATATATACGGCTGCGACAGTCAAAGGGTTAATAGTTAAAAACAAAAGAGGGGAGTTATTAGATCGAGAATTGGAGGTATTGGGTAGATGGAGAGAAAATTTTAAGGAGCTGTTAAATGTTGATAAAGATAGGGAAGCTGTGATTTCATGCATTGATCAGGGAGGTAGAGTGGACCATCTGTTATCGGCCGTAATCCATTCCAGAAGGTCAGCCTAAAAGCGAAATGGCCTTAAACTGAAATAATATTTCCCATAAGAATTAGTGTAAATACAATTAATCCGTTCCAAACACCCAAAAATATTCACAAAAAAAAAATTTTTTTTTTAACCCCTTGACTGTTGCAACTCCCAATCCTGAGGTGTCTCCTGGTGTCGCAAAATTAACAAAAAAAAAATTATTTTTTCTTATGAAATGATAGAGAATCTTTTCCTGATTGTAATGACACCAAAAAAACGAAATTTGATGGAAAACTGACGGAATTATGCTCTCGCGAAGTTAGCGACCTCGGCGCTGTTTGCAAATCGGCGATTTCGCCCACTTTGAGCCCTATTTTCGGCTAATTCCATTGTTCCAGTCGCCCAAACTCATAGATATTTCTTTAGAACTCCAATTTTTCTATCAATTGGTACAAGAAACTGCCCATTTACCAATTTCAACTACCTAATAATGTGGTCAGAAATTTGCAATTTGGCCAATTTCACGAAAACTAAAAAATATGACAATTTCAAAATAAGGTCTAGAATGAACAATGCAGACATTCCTGGCTCTAAAATAACATTTTCTTTGCTCATCAGTCATGTCTCCAGGCCCCTCTGATATTACTCTTGCTTTCTATTTTGAATTTTTATTCAAACAAAAAATAGAAGACTTACTATTATGCAGACTACTGCAATACTGTAATAGTTGTATAAATAACATCAACCTATTCATGACTGCATATTAGAATGGCTAGTTGGACATTTCTTGGACAATGGCATTATTTGTTTACTTTTGAACATTGGTAAAAATTAAACATTTCCCCTACTTTGAGCTCCATTTGTAGGTTCTTTTTATAGTAAAGTCAATCAAAATCACCTCTATTTCTATAATATGTTTTCCATTCTATCAAATGAGACCAAGAAAACGAGAATACAACCATAAATACTATACGAAAATAGACCACAAAGTCGACATTTTAATTAAAAAAAAACGGTCGGAGTTTTTTTTTTCTCATTATGCACTGCGTGCTCCATGATTTTTTTTATATGGTGCACACTGACCACACAGACCTATTCTCTCACATGTGGGCCTACCAGCTTTCTCCTGCTTGATTTGAAGCCGCTAGAATTTATGAGTATATATACGTCAAACACGGTACCTCGTAAGACGTATATATACGGCCGTGACAGTCAAAGGGTTAATTAAGAAAAACGGTCGGAGTTTTTTTTTTCTCATTATGCACTGCGTGCTCCAGGATTTTTTTTTTGTGGTGCACACTGACCACACAGACCCATTCTCTCACATGTGGGCCTACCAGCTTTCTCCTTCTTGATTTGAAGCCGCTAGAATTTATGAGTATATATACGTCAAACACGGTACCTCGTAAGACGTATATATACAGCTGCAACAGTCAAAGGGTTAAAGAAGGAAATTTAAAGTGAACATTGGAAAGAGTAAGGTGAAAGATTCAGGTGATGAAAGATTGGATATCAGATTTTGGGAAGGGAGTATGGAGGAAGTGAATGTGTTCAGATATTTGGGAGTGGACCTGGCAGATGGGTTTAGGAAAGATGTAGTAGGTTTATTTAGGTACGTACACATAAGTACAGTTATACAAATTTAGGTGATTATAATTATCATATATAATAACATGTGTCAATTACCTAGGATAATCCAAAAAAGTCAAAGTGAAAAAAAGAATGTCATCCATAGAGGCAAAAAGGGAATGTACTAGATTATTTTCATACCAATATTCTTATATGGGTGTGAAGCATGAGTTTTAAACATTGCAGTGAGGAGGAGGCTGGAGGCACTGGAGATATGTTGGTAGGTAATGTTTTTTGTGAATATTATCAGAGAATTCATAATTTGGAAACAGAAGGTAGTGTAGGGTTACTTAGAGTATTATCCAGAGGGCTCAGATGATTTTTTTTTTTTATGTGGATTAATTTTACAGGCTAAGAGCTGTTATCCTACCTCAGCTCATTTCAAAGTCCCAGCTCTAAGGTATACTACCACCCCTCCAGGATGCCACCCATACCAGTTGGCTAACACTCGGGTACCTACTTACTGCTATGTGAACAGCGACAGCAGGTGTAGGGAAACACACCCAGTGTTTCCACCTGTATCGGGAATTGAACACCGGACACTCAGTGTGTGAGCTGAGTTGATGTGGTTTGAACATTGAGAGAGGAAGGAGTAAAATAGGATAACTTGGAGGGTGTGTAAATCTTCAATGGAGGGAAGGACAGATAGAGGAGCTAGGATAGGTTGGAGGGAGGAGGTAAAGGAGATTTAATATGTGAGGGGCTTGGACATCGAACTGGTGTGTGTGTGTACTCGCCTATATACTCACCTATATGTGGTTGCAGGGGTCAAGTCATAGCTCCTAGCCCCGCCTCTTCACTTGTCGATACTAATTCACTCTCTCCCTGCTCCATGATATTTGTCATACCTCCTCTTAAAGCTATTTATGGAACTTGCTTCCACTACTTCACTCTCCAGATTATTCCAGTTCCTGACAACTCTAAGACTAAAGAAATACTTCCTAACATCCCTATGACTCATCTGGGTTTTCAGTTTCCAATTGTGTCCCTTGTTTCTGAATCCCATCTCTGAAACATTTGATCCTTGTCCACCTTGTCGATGCCTCTTAGTATTTTATACATTGTTATCATGTCCCCTCTATCCCTCCTATCCTCTAGTGTCATCAGGTTGAGTTCCCTTAACTTCTCTTCATAAGACATACCCCTCAGTTCTGGGACTAATTGTGTTACAAATTTTTGCACTTTCTCCAATTTTGTGACGTGTTTGACTAAGTGAGGGTTCCATACTGGCGCTGCATATTCCAGTATAGGCCTTACGTACACTGTGTACAATATCGTGAATGACTCCTTACTCAGATGTCTAAACGCCAATCTCAGGTTTGCCAATCTCCCATATGCTGCAGCAGTTATTTGATTGATGTGTGCCTCAGGGGACATGTTTGTTATAATGCTTACCCCAAGATCCTTTTCTTTAACTGACATTTGCAGCTGTTGATTTCCTAACCTGTACTCCGTCTGCGGTCTTCAATGTCCTTCCCCAATCTTCATGACCTTACACTTACTGGGGTTAAACTCCAGGAGCCATTTGTCTGACCATACTTGTAGCTTGTCCAGATCCCCTTGTAATCTTAACTGATCCACGCCCACTTGTATTCTCCTCATCAGTTTCACATCATCAGCGAACAGTGACACTTCTGAATCTATTCCTTCCACCATGTCATTCACGTATACAAGAAACAGCACCGGGCCTAGGACTGAACCTTGTGGAACCCCACTCGACACATTCGCCCACTCCAACACTTCAGCACGTACCAACACACGTTTCCTTCCTGTCAGGTATTCCCTGATCCATTGCAGTACTTTCCCTGTTATTCCTGCCTGCTCCTCTAATTTTTGCACCAGTCTCTTGTGTGGTACTGTGTCAAAAGCCTACTGCTGTGTCAAAAGACTACTGCAATATTGTAGTAATTGTATAAATAACATCAACCCATTCATGACTGCATATTAGAATGGCTACTTGGACATTTATTGGAAAATGACATCATTTATTTACTTTTGAACATTGGCAAAAATCAAACCTTTTCCCTACTTTGAGCTTCATTTCAAGGTTCTTTTCATAGTAAAACCAATCAAAATCACCCCTATTTCTATAATATGTTTTCCATTCTATCAAATGAGACCAAGAAAGTGAGAATACAACCATAAAGACTATACGAAAATGGACCACAAATTCGGCATTTTAATTAAAAAAAAAACGGTCAGTTTTTTTTTTCTCATTATGCCTTGTGTGCTGCAGGATTTTTTTTATATGGTGCACACTGACCACACACCCATTCTCTCACATGTGGGCCTACCAGCTTTCTCCTGCTTGATTTGAAGCCTCTAGAATTTATGAGTGTATACATGTCAAAAACAGTGGCTTGTAAGACATATATCTGTGACCCAAACAGTCAGAGGGTTAAACTAACATCTTCTCCAAGGTAAGTGTAAATATAAAAGTGTAAGTATAAAAGTAAATATAAGTGTAAATATAAAAGGACCCCATTTGAAATATGTAAGTCACTCTGACATGTTTGGGTTATCCTAGGTACTTTACACATATGCTGCTATGTATGATAATTTGTGTATGTAACTGTATTTGTGTATAACTGAATAAACTTACTTATTAATAAATTAAAATGTTAATATTTCTTATTTATAAATTAAAATGTAAATATTTCTTATTTATAAATTACATGCAATGTTTAAGTGTGATAGTGGTGGTGGGTTCTGCTGGTGCCTCCACCTCCACCACCACAGCTTCTCTCAGTGGCCCTTATAAACCCAACAACAACACTTAAAGCATTTACTCCTCTCATATATTATGACATATTTTTTTTCATTCTAGAGTATTTATTATGTTTCTATGTTATTAATATTGTTTATAATATCATATTAGATGAATTGTGATAGATAAATAAGCCGTAGAGGTGATATTAGCTTCATATTGAAGCATAATAAACTTGCCTTCCTCTTGCCTCCTATGTGTCTACCATACACCAACAAGTCAAGTCAATAAAGGTAAGTGTGATGTTAAATGTTCATTTATCCATTTTATTAGTGCTTTATATTTATTTGTCATTGTTTTCTGTATGCATATTTATATTTATATTTAATCTTTAAAAATATAGTTTTTGTTAATACATGTACTTTATAAAACTGGGATGCTTAAATGTGCGTGGATGTAGTGCGGATGACAAGAAACAGATGATTGCTGATGTTATGAATGAAAAGAAGTTGGATGTCCTGGCCCTAAGCGAAACAAAGCTGAAGGGGGTAGGAGAGTTTCAGTGGAGGGAAATAAATGGGATTAAATCTGGAGTATCTGAGAGAGTTAGAGCAAAGGAAGGGGTAGCAGTAATGTTGAATGATCAGTTATGGAAGGAGAAAAGAGAATATGAATGTGTAAATTCAAGAATTATGTGGATTAAAGTAAAGGTTGGATGCGAGAAGTGGGTCATAATAAGCGTGTATGCACCTGGAGAAGAGAGGAATGTAGAGGAGAGAGAGAGATTTTGGGAGATGTTAAGTGAATGTATAGGAGCCTTTGAACCAAGTGAGAGAGTAATTGTGGTAGGGGACCTGAATGCTAAAGTAGGAGAAACTTTTAGAGAGGGTGTGGTAGGTAAGTTTGGGGTACCAGGTGTAAATGATAATGGGAGCCCTTTGATTGAACTTTGTATGGAAAGGGGTTTAGTTATAGGTAATACATATTTTAAGAAAAAGAGGATAAATAAGTATACAAGATATGATGTAGGGCGAAATGACAGTAGTTTGTTGGATTATGTATTGGTAGATAAAAGACTGTTGAGTAGACTTCAGGATGTACATGTTTATAGAGGGGCAACAGATATATCAGATCACTTTCTAGTTGTAGCTACACTGAGAGTAAAAGGTAGATGGGATACAAGGAGAATAGAAGCATCAGGGAAGAGAGAGAGGTGAAGGTTTATAAACTAAAAGAGGAGGCAGTTAGGGTAAGATATAAACAGTTATTGGAGGATAGATGGGCTAATGAGAGCATAGGCAATGGGGTCGAAGAGGTATGGGGTACGTTTAAAAATGTAGTGTTAGAGTGTTCAGCAGAAGTTTGTGGTTACAGGAAAGTGGTGCGGGAGGGAAGAGGAGCGATTGGTGGAATGATGATGTAAAGAGAGTAGTAAGGGAGAAAAAGTTAGCATATGAGAAGTTTTTACAAAGTAGAAGTGATGCAAGGAGGGAAGAGTATATGGAGAAAAAGAGAGAGGTTAAGAGAGTGGTGAAGCAATGTAAAAAGAGAACAAATGAGAGAGTGGGTGAGATGTTATCAACAAATTTTGTTGAAAATAAGAAAAAGTTTTGGAGTGAGATTAACAAGTTAAGAAAGCCTAGAGAACAAATGGATTTGTCAGTTAAAAATAGGAGAGGAGAGTTATTAAATGGAGAGTTAGAGGTATTGGGAAGATGGAGGGAATATTTTGAGGAATTGTTAAATGTTGATGAAGATAGGGAAGCTGTGATTTCGTGTATAGGACAAGGAGGAATAACATCTTGTAGGAGTGAGGAAGAGCCAGTTGTGAGTGTGGGGGAAGTTCGTGAGGCAGTAGGTAAAATGAAAGGGGGTAAGGCAGCCGGGATTGATGGGATAAAGATAGAAATGTTAAAAGCAGGTGGGGATATAGTTTTGGAGTGGTTGGTGCAATTATTTAATAAATGTATGGAAGAGGGTAAGGTACCTAGGGATTGGCAGAGGGCATGCATAGTTCCTTTGTATAAAGGCAAAGGGGATAAAAGAGAGTGCAAAAATTATAGGGGGATAAGTCTGTTGAGTATACCTGGTAAAGTGTATGGTAGAGTTATTATTGAAAGAATTAAGAGTAAGATGGAGAATAGGATAGCAGATGAACAAGGAGGCTTTAGGAAAGGTAGGGGGTGTGTGGACCAGGTGTTTACAGTGAAACATAAGTGAACAGTATTTAGATAAGGCTAAAGAGGTCTTTGTGGCATTTATGGATTTGGAAAAGGCATATGACAGGGTGGATAGGGGGGCAATGTGGCAGATGTTGCAGGTGTATGGTGTAGGAGGTAGGTTACTGAAAGCAGTGAAGAGTTTTTACGAGGATAGTGAGGCTCAAGTTAGAGTATGTAGGAAAGAGGGAAATTATTTCCCAGTAAAAGTAGGCCTTAGACAAGGATGTGTGATGTCACCGTGGTTGTTTAATATATTTATAGATGAGGTTGTAAGAGAAGTAAATGCGAGGGTCTTGGCGAGAGGCGTGGAGTTAAAAGATAAAGAATCACACATAAAGTGGGAGTTGTCACAGTTGCTCTTTGCTGATGACACTGTTCTCTTGGGAGATTCTGAAGAGAAGTTGCAGAGATTGGTGGATGAATTTGGTAGGGTGTGCAAGAGAAGAAAATTGAAAGTGAATACAGGAAAGAGTAAGGTTATGAGGATAACAAAAAGATTAGGTGATGAAAGATTGGATATCAGATTGGAGGGAGACAGTATGGAGGAGGTGAATGTATTCAGATATTTGGGAGTGGACGTGTCAGCGGATGGGTCTATGAAAGATGAGGTGAATCATAGAATTGGTGAGGGGAAAAGGGTGAGTGGTGCACGTAGGAGTCTCTGGAGACAAAGAACTTTGTCCTTGGAGGCAAAGAGGGGAATGTATGAGAGTATAGTTTTACCAACGCTCTTATATGGGTGTGAAGCATAGGTGATGAATGTTGCAGCGAGGAGAAGGCTGGAGGCAGTGGAGATGTCATGTCTGAGGGCAATGTGTGGTGTGAATATAATGCAGAGAATTCGTAGTTTGGAAGTTAGGAGGAGGTGCGGGATTACCAAAACTGTTGTCCAGAGGGCTGAGGAAGGGTTGTTGAGGTGGTTCGGACATGTGGAGAGAATGGAGCGAAACAGAATAACTTCAAGAGTGTATCAGTCTGTAGTGGAAGGAAGGCGGGGTAGGGGTCGGCCTAGGAAAGGTTGGATGGAGGGGGTAAAGGAGGTTTTGTGTGCGAGGGGCTTGGACTTCCAGCAGGCATGCGTGAGCGTGTTTGATAGGAGTGAATGGAGACAAATGGTTTTTAATATTTGACGTGCTGTTGGAGTGTGAGCAAAGTAACATTTATGAAGGGGTTCAGGGAAACCGGCAGGCCGGACTTGAATCCTGGAGATGGGAAGTGCAGTGCCTGCACTCTGAAGGAGGGGTGTTAATGTTGCAGTTTAAGAACTGTAGTGTAAAGCACCCTTCTGGCAAGACAGTGATGGAGTGAATGATGGTGAAAGTTTTTCTTTTTCGGGCCACCCTGCCTTGGTGGGAATCGGCCAGTGTGATAATAAAAAAAAAAAAAAATATGTACTTCTGGCTGTCTGAAATGGATTAGTTGGATTTCCATTATTTCTTATTGGGAAAATTAATTTGGCTAAAGGCTAGCTCTCTAGAGCCGATTAAAGGCGTTAGCCGAGGGTCCACTTATATAATTTTCTTATTAATGTTTGAGAAGAAAGCAATATCATAAGATGCGTGTGAGTGATGATGTTACTGCTCTCTCCACAGACCATATTTGTGCAGGCATGGTACCCCATTACAGTTGCAACAAATTCTCGGATTCAGAAGCAAATTATTCACCAGTACCTGAAGGACACGAACGACAACTTGGATCAACTTCACTTTATGGTAAGAATATTGAGTCATGTATTAAATATTAATTGATTTGAATTTAGTGCATGAATTAAACTGATAATAAATAAGAAGTGTTTGTCTCCCCAAAATGTTGTTAATGATTTTATTAACCCTCTGAGGGTCCAGAGTCCAAATCTCAGTGACAGCCAGGGTCCAAGAATTTTCAAAAAAAAATTTTTTTAATTTTTTTCTTATAAAATTGTGGACAATCTTTTTCAGAAGTAAATAAAAAAAAACTATGAAATTTGATGGAAAATTGACGAAATTACACTTGCGAATTTTGCTGCATAGGCAATATTTACGCAACAGCAATTTTGCCTACTTTGACTTCCATTTTAGGCCAATTATGTTATTCCAGTCGACCAAATTCTTAGCTTTTTCGCTAGAATTAATTCTATTTTATAGATTGAGGACGAGAAATTTCCCAGTCAACTGTTTCAAATACCCAATAAAGTGATGGGAAATTGGTAATTTGGCCAATTTAACACAAAGTTCAAAATATTGCAGTTTCAAAATAGGGTCCAGAATAAACAGTGCAGGCATTCCTGGCAAAACTAACATTTCCTCTGTTTAGTAGTTATGTTTCCAGGCTTTACAAATGAATTCCATTTTGATCTTTTATTCACATAATGGATTTTTATTCACACCAAAAAATTGAAGATTTACTATTATGCAACATTTTAATAATTGTATAAATAATATCAGCACATTAGTGAAGATATACTAGACCCATCAGCTGATGTGTATTAGATACGTGATGTCATATGTGTACTCTTGATCATCTGCAAAAATTGAACATTTCCACTACTTTGAGCTCAGTTTCAAGCCATTATCAGTACTAAAACCAATCAAAATCATCTCTTTTTCTGTAATGTATCTTCCATTCTATCAAATGAGACCAAGAAATCGTGAATACAACTGTAAAAAACATATGAAGAAACACCGCAAAATTGCTGTTTTAATCCAAAAATAGTCTGTTTTTTTCTCATTATGCACTGCACGCTGCAGTATTTGTTTTATGTGGTGCACACTTACCACACAGATGTATTCTCTCATATCTAGGCCCAAATTTACCACTACAGCTTATCTGAGTGAGCTGAGCCCAAGCAGTAGTTCTACGGCTTGGACCCAGGCTTCAAAGCCTTAGAACTATGGAACGGACTCTCAAAGGGTTGAGATTCAGATAAAGATTCTTTATTTCATCATGATATAGTATTTGTAAAGAGGTAAATGACATTGAAGTGTGCATGCAGAAAACCCCTTAATATGCAGAGCATTTCAGGCAAACTTAAGACTATCTTAAGATATATAGATTTTTCCAATAAATTTAACAGTGTCTGATTATTATTTGTTGTGTTGTTTTCTCATTTTACTTTGCTGCTACGGTTCTCACTATATACTGTGGTGTAGGGTAGTTCATTTCTGCCTCATGAAGTCTAGGGGAATAATTCCATTAATGACTAGTCCATTTCAGTTTCTGAAAACTTATCCCTTCTTTTAGTAAAGGTAATTTAAAACACTGTTCTACAAAAATAATTATATTTTCCATGGATAAGTATTTACAGCATATACATATTTTAGTCTGGTCCAGCCTTAATCCACATGGCACCCAGGGTACCTCACATTTTGCCCAGAAGTAGATTGGGTAGTTCCTTCCAGTCGGGATACACAACAAATGGAGACGGAGCCAGGTTTGGTAAGTTTTGTCAGGGAACAGGACAAGTGTTTCCTGATGTGGGTCTTAGTCATATGATGACCCAGCGCTGGAACTTTTGGTCATCTGACCGAGGTTTTCTGCTGACTTACTGGCCACATAAGAGTGATGAATTCTCGTGACAGAATTAGGCAGTTGTGTCCCCAGCAGTTCAATATAATTAGGTATTTCAAATATAGTCTTTTCCTGTAACTTAGGTACTTAAATACATATTGGGTACAACAAACATCATCATCATCGCCACCACCCACCACCACTACTGAGTCGAACTGAACTTTAATAATGCAGGTAATTTTCTTTTTCTGGTACCCTTGTTATAGTGTATACCACAGTGGTACTGTAGTACAGTAGAACCTCTACTTGCAAGCGCATCCACGTGCGAATTTTTCCAAATACGTGCAGTCGATGGGTTGATTTTTTGCTTCCATACGTGAGCAAAATTTCCATAAGCGAGCAGACCTCAAGGCAGGTTCCTTGATGCTGGTGAGGGGCTCTTGCTCTTGATCTAGGGATTTGTATCTCATTTGTTTGTTGGACTATCTTATTGAAACTTGGGCAATGTATGATGGAAAGGTACTTCTTAACGTACACCAAAAATGAAAGAAATCAGAGCATAAATAATGGAGTTCACATCTCGGCAATTAGCCACTCCTTAGCGGTATTTTTGTATGGTTTCTATGGTTGTATTCTTGTGTTTTTGGTCTCATTTGATTGAATGGAAGATATACTGCAGAAATAGACATGATTTTGATTGCCTTCACGATGAAAAGTACCTTGAAATTGAGCTCAACGAGAGAGAAATGCTCATTTGCTTGACTATATTCAAGAGTAAATAAACTGTCCATTCCAATATGCAGTCCTGAATGGGTTGACATTATTTACAATTATTGCAATAAGGCATAACAGTAAATCTTATATTTTTTGTGTGAATAAAAATTACAAATTATTTATATTGTAATAATAATAATAATACAGTGGACCCCCAGTATACGATATTAATCCGTTCCTGAGAGCTCATCGTATGCCAAAATTATCGGAAGGCGAATTAATTTTCCCCATAAGAAATAATGGAAATCAAATTAATCCGTGCAAGACACCCAAAAGTATGAAAAAAAAAGTTTTACCACATGAAATATTAAGTTTAACCCTTAAACTGTCCAAACAGATCGACGTTCAAATTCGTAGTGCTGCAAAAGTAGATCTACTTTTTTTTACATATTTTCAAATATAACAAAAAAAAATGTAGATAAAAGTTTTTTTTTACACGTTTTCACATGTAAAACAAAAAAAAAGATCTAAATTTTTTTACATACTTTCAGATGTTGAAAAAACGTATATATACGTTTGGACCATTTAAGGGTTAATGCACACAAACTGAAGAAGACATGCACAGTTAGTAGTACTCAACTAACAATAGAATACATGATACTTACCTTTAATGAAGATCTGGTGATGATTGATGGGATGGGAGGAGGGGAGAGTGTCGAAGTTGTTAGTGTTTAGAAGGGGAATCCCCTTCCATTAGGACTTGAGGTAGCAAGTCCTTTTCCGGGGTTACTTCCCTTCTTCTTTTAATGCCACTAGGACCAGCTTGAGAGTCAGTGGACTTCTGTCGCACAACATATCTGTCCATAGAGCTCTGTACCTCTCGTTCCTTTATGACTAGTCGACAGACTAGAAGTAAGTTTATTCAGGTACTATACACTAATACAGTTACATAGATTACCATACATAGCAGTGTATGGTTTAGAAAGACACGTAAGCAAACACTATGACATATTTATTAGAAAACGTTTCGGTCCTGGGACCTTGAAGTGATCAAGGTCCCAGGATCGAAACGTTTTCTAATAAATATGTCATAGTGTTTGCTTATGTGTCTTTCTAGACCAACTTGTCGGTATTTATTACCAAGGTTTATACCATAGCAGTGTATGTATAGAGAACCTAGGATAGCCCAAAAAAGTCAGACAAACTGACTTATTTCCAGTACCTGGCTTGGGCTTGCCATGATTTTTGGTAAATATTGTTTTTTTTCAGTTATTCGTTGGGCTATCTCATTGAAACTTGGGCAATGTATGATAAAAAGATGCTTCTTAACGTACACCAAAAATAAAAAAGATGGACGATATATAAGGGAGTTCACTTCTCAGCCATTAGCTGCTTCTTTGTGGTATATTTTTGTATGGTTTTTATGGTTGTATTTTCGTTGTTTTGGTCTCATTTGATATAATGGAACATATATTACAGAAATAGACATGATTTTGATTGCTTTCATGATGAAAAGTACCTTGAAATTGAGCTCAAAGCGGAAATGTTCAATTTTTGCCGATGTTCAATGAACTTTGTGTAAGTCAAGTTGGTTAATTTTGTTTTAAGTATATTCTAACCTAACCACTCTGTAATCCGGCAAACTCAGTAATCCAGCACACTACAGGTCCCAGTGATGCCGGATTTGTGATGGAGGACCTGTACCAGTCGACAAAAATCAAAACTATTTTGCTAGAACTCCACTTTTTCTATCGAATAAGTACAAGTAACCACCCATTTACCAATTTCAACTATCCAATGAAGTGATCAGAAACTGGCAATTTTGCCAATTTCACACAAATTTCAAAAGATGCCAATTTCCAAATAGGGTCCAGAATAAACAAGACAGACATTCCTGGCAGTAAAATAACATTTTCTCTGTTCAATAATCCCCAGGCCCCTCTTACATTTCTTTTGCTTTCTGCTTTCAATTTTTATTCTCACAAAAAAATAGAAGATTTACTGTTATTCTCCTTCATTCTCCTTTATTCTCCTTCATTCTCTTTCATTCTTCTTCATTCTCCTTAATTCTCTTTCATTCTCCTTCATTCTCCTTCATTCTTCTGGTATCCTGGGCACTACTTTTGGTCACAAGCTCCTTAAAACCATGAAATTGATCTTCACTGACACTTCCATCTGTGTTAGAGCATCACTTGGGAAGAGTCCCAGATTTGCCAGGGAGTCACATATTTCTTACCGCTAGGCATGATGAACAAGGACAACTGAAATGGCTTTCCCACAATGCTCCACTGGCTCCCCAATATTTTTTTATATGGCACACACTGACCATGGAGACCCATTCTCTCACATGTGGGTCTGCCAGCTTTCTCCTGCTTGATTTGAAGCCGCTAGAATTTTGGCGTATTAATATGTCAAACACATTGGTTCGTAAGACATATATATATGACCAAAACAGCCAAAGGGTCAAAAACAACTCTGGGCACCTTACTGACAAGGAGAATGAAATGTGCTT